AGACCATTGTATATTGCAGTGGGGAAAAAAAAAATAATATCAAAACATTCGAAAAGAGTTCCAGTTCATAAGTATAAATAAATTGGTATGTGATATATTTATCCTTTATTCATGCTAGCGCTGTCTTATCATCAACAAGGATACGTTTTTAGGTATAGATAAATTGTGAATGAATCTACCGGAATGATAGCTGATTCGGACCATAGCTCAATGCCGTATAATACCATGCCGTATAATACCATAATAAGTTAAGGACGATTTCATGTTGTCAGAAATGTCGTCGTGCTTTATTGATAAAACAGCAGACTCCTGTGGTTTAAGGCATAAGCACGCTAGGCACGTGCCTTGGGCCCCGCGCAGCAGAAGGCCCCGATGCAGCCCAAAAACAAAATTTCGGTGTCGGTTGTGTTAGCAGTTTAGTACTATATTAATAAATTTAACAAAATGACACACATGCACATAGAAATGCAATGCAATACTCTATATCTGAGACTGAGTGAATGAAACGCAATTCTGGTTACTTTTAAGTTTAGAGTTTGTGCCTAGGGCCCCAAGCTTCTTAAAAAAAGCTATGTCATGTCTATGTAATAATAATAATAATAATAATAATAATAATAATAATAATAATAATAATAATAATAATAATAATAATAATAATTATTATTATTATTATTATTATTATTATTATTATTATTATTATAATAATAAAATAATAATAAAGACTTTATTTAGAGAAGGTAACTCAATTACAGAACTAATCGACCTTGAGGCCTTCTATCTGTTATGTACAATATATACAGTATATACAACAGATGTGAAAAATATGTCTTGACGCTAAATAATTAAGTGATTTTAAAATGCACAGGCATCTGTGAACATATAAACATACATAAAATATAAAATATCATCCTGCATTGAAAAATTCAACTGATAAAATGATGCAAAATTACAGAAAAGCAGGCGGTATTTATTTTAGTAGAACTGTTCAATTGTCTAAAGATTTCCTCCATTTGAAACATCGATTATAAGAAGAAGAAATGCTAGGATCTTGCCTTATGTCATTGTGAATGCAGTTCAGTTAGGGTGAACCGAATTCGCTAAATTTTAATAATGTATGTTATAGATAAACCACTCTCAGAAAATGTTATACACAGAAAGGAAACACGAGTATATTGTATTTATTCCAAACAATAAGTGTACACAATTCCGTGACAATTGGGACTTTGTGAAAGATTATAGGAAAACGTGTGTTGTTGGCCAAAACACAACTTAAACCAGTTTAATGCGGCTAAACGAAAAAAGTACATCGCTAACATAAAACTTATCCAAAACAGATGAGACGAAATTGGAAAAAAATATTTCCATCTCTTGCAGTGATTCTAGCTTTGTTAGCAGCTCCTGTTCCAACGGTTGAAAAATCGGCGAGTTTAAGGGATGTCTGAATAGCGTCAGCAATGACTTTGATGATGGCTGTCAGGAGTGGACTGTCCAGCTCGTTCGATTGAGCCCTATGTTCTCCTAGACGCACAGGATCTATATAAAAAAAAAGAAAAAAAAAAAGGCATTCGATTACCAGGAACTAATCGTCGAATACCACCAGGCAGACAACTTCGATTAAGCAAAAGACATCATCCAGTTTTGATTTACTAACGATGGTAAATGCAGTCAAGCATTTCTGCGGAGTTTTTGTGCGAAATAAATTTGCATCGATGGTGCTACGTACACATGAAACCGGCATTATTACCTCGATTCGTTAAAAAGACCTATTACTCATTAGGTTTCATACATGGTGATCCCGAATCATATGATGTTTTTTTGACTCAAGTGGAGTTGCACCAACACGTTAAGTTCTTAATTATCTACATGGCACCTTTGCCAGTCAAGAACGAATACTGTTTTGTTCGACTATAAGGATATAAACTTAGTTGGACAGTCTTGTATGTGGTCATGTTGTTAAATCGTTCCCGCGTGCACTGGAGCATTCACCAACACTGCAGACCCTTACTAAGTTCATATTAACGTTCGTTTAATATTATATACAATGACTAATATTTACAGACAGTTTCTCAACTAGGCACGGTGTTGATGTGGATCAGAGCAGGTTTTCCACCAGTGCGAATTTGGCTGAAGTTACAAGTCTAGTTGTCTTTAATGTTGACCCTGGCGAGCTTGCGATATTTCAGGATTGAATTGGTAAACTGCAAACGTCTAAGCGTACATTGGAGATCTTGTTGTCAGGCTGAGAGGCACTGTTTCAAAGTAATAATGCTAATGCTACAACAAAACTTTACATGGATGAAAATTCACAGACGTGACTGCACCAGGCAAGGTTATTTACCTCCAGTCAATTACCCCCCCCCCCCATTACCTCTCGGTAAATCACACCCCAGTCAATTACCCCCCCCCCAAATTACCTTCTGGAGAACTACCTCCGCAGGACATGATTATTCCCCTATATAAAAGAAGTATTACCGTGAGTAAATAACCAGAAATAAGAATGGTGCATGGGGAGGCCGTACTATATTAATAATAAAATGATGTCTTCATGTGAGGAAGGTGCTTCAGTCAAATGATAATTTGGTTAAGTTATCTTCTCTCTAACTGACCAGGTGTTATGTCTTTAATCAACCTACTCTACGTATAACATATGCCCCTATACAATATATTATGTATACGATATTAATAACAAGAAGATGCCAGGTAGTTGATAATTTTTTTTAAAAACCAATTTGTCATTAGTTGCATACCAAATTGAATTTGCTTCACATCTTATGCATATGCAGATTTTGCCAAGTACGACCAATTTTTACTTGATTAGTTGTAATAACAATTTTGAAGTGAGAAACAAATGTGTCACAAATCTTCTTAGGTTGTCCACCGTGTCCGATGATGACGCTAATTAGTTGTACTACCCACGGTGAGTACGCATATAGTTCCTGAGGATTTGCTAGAGCTGCATCACATGCCTGTAGTATTCATTCCAGGTTTCGCAGACATAGAGCAGGGTGGTGAGGACAACAACTTTATAGACCTTGATCTTGATGGGCATCAGGATGTATATTTGCTGCAGGGCTCTCACGGGAAGTCTTTCTAGAACTTGGCTTTCCGGATGATTTCCTTTTGCGCTGATCTGTTGCTAGCAAAATTTATTAGTTTATTTTTACCATTTATAGTTCAAAGAACAAATGTCATTCCTAATAAAATTAATATTTCACTAAAACACACAAGTTTTAAACACAGAATTTATATGCGAGTTCATTATGATGTCATATAGTCTTGTTTATTTATGGAAATACTTAACAGCCAGAGTGTGTTGCTTTCTGTTTCATTTCTGACATTCAAATTGTTGGATATATGAAGGGATGATTATTGATACAGATATCCTAGTAACTTTTTTTTTACCGGATTTTAGCATTATTCAGATTGGAACAGTAGATTATTTGGTAGACAGAGATAATTTCGGAATTGCATCACATGATAAGACCGATTTTACGGCGTAAGCATGCTGTAGTTGGATAACGTCCTTCCAATGTATAGATTGATGTATATCCACAATGTTCTATAAATAGGGATAAGTTTATTTACTCCTATAAGTTAACATATAATTCACGTTTGCATACAGGGTGGATTTCATGCTACCATTACACCTCTTAACCCTTTCCACACACACGCTATAATTTGACTAATTCCCTTAGTTTTATTTGTTTGTTGCTGCTTGGGGCATGATAATCTATGCATGGCGCAAGGAGCTCATGTGGACGTAAATAGACCATAATCAGATAGATATGATCTTTTTTTAACACTTCCCTTTGGGCAGTAGATTAAAAAAATGTACGCCAAGTAAGAGTAAAAACAAAAGTTTCTGTAGGCGGTGTAATGAAATTTTCTCGATATCTCAACCAATCAGTAAAAATACTACTACATATGAATTCTTCGGCTTATCAGAATCGCATAAAGAGATATTTAACATGTTTGTCGTATCTATAATATGAAACTGAACATATTATATACAAAGTGTACCAATTTTGTGATGAAAATACAATTTTCTTTAATGTGTCATAAACTGTCATAGAGGTAGTTGTCCGTTGCTTAATTTACACGGGTGGTAATTGACCAGGGGTGATTGACGGGGGTGGGTGGGTGGGTGGGTAATTGACTGGGGGTAATTAATTGGGAGGTAAATGACGGGGTGGGTGGGATAATTATCCTTTAACTAGTATATTTTTTAATGACCTTTATGCCTTTATGTTATGTCCCAAGATAAATTTAAATATTTTCAGGCAGAGATCATTTATGATTGTATGACACATGTAACATTAAAATGTGTATTTGGTTAGAAGTGTGTCAACGTAATACATCTGATCACGGTTGGCCTGTTGATGAGCAATTATACAATTACATTGTTTGTGTGTGTACGATGTCTGCATTGGGGCAGTTTATAGTGATGTCTAGTAGGCCTACTGGGGCATCATGCCGCAGACATGTAGCATCATGTCCCACACTGTCATATTATCCCGACACCAGACCGACTAGTTCTAATATTAATCTCTTAATGCTGAGAGCGACCTCCTGCATTCGACAATTACATTGTTAATATAATAACTACAATGGGCCCTCGACATTACCAACGCGCAAAAATAACTGAAGAGGAACAACCACCGTTGGCATGAGTGTGTCTGAAATCGTAACAACGGCGATTATCATTGATGGTCCTATCAGAATTGTCAAAAATATATCGATAACAACTGGCTTTGCAGACGCTGCTGGTAAAATAACCACCTGGAGTTCTATTAATAAAAACGTGATTTTTCAGAACCTCTTGCGGCGAAATTAAGCAATTTGAATAAAGTTATTAAATTGTATTCGGCGTTTCTTCTGGGTAACATGCAAAGTGGAGTTTGAAATTGTATTAACTGTTTCTAACCGTGGTTAGTCAGCAGGTCTTAAACCGCTGGTGTGACAATGCTTACATTCTTGAATCTCCACAAGAGTTTGTAACCGCTCCGGTGGCCTAGTGGTTAGAGCATCCGCCTTGGATGCGGGAGGTCGTGGGTTCGATCCCCGGTCGAGTCATACCAAAGACTTACAAAAATGGTACTAACAGATGCCTCGCTTGACGCTTAGCATTCGAGGTTAGTGTTAGGACTGGTCGGCCTGGTGTCAGGATAATGTGACTGGGTGGGACATCATGCTATATGTCTGCGGCATAATGCCCCAGTGCTAGACATCACTATAAACTGCTACACTGCAGACATCGTAGTGATATGACCGAAAAATTGTTAAAGCTACGTGAAAATCATACACACACACCCACCCACCCACAAGAGTTTGTTGTGAAATACATGTGCTTGAATTTTGAATTATGTACAATTAAAGGATGAGTGTTGACAGTAGAATTCTAAAACGACAATTCAGACCAACTGCAAACTTTCACGAAAATCTGAGTTTGATCCAAAAAGCATATAATGTAATTGATTGTAATTAATTGATTGTGATTGGTTATGATTTATCGATTGTGCTAATGACGATTTTACCAACACGGTCTAAATGTAAAAGAACTAGAAAATAAACCAACATCGCATAAAGGACAAGAAAATTAGATCGTGCCATTTATATCTGATAGGAGCTTGCCTCCAAATTCGATTGAATTTGATCACGTGATTTTGGAATTTCACTATAAAATTAACAAACTAAATTTGGTTGAAGGAAAGACTGAACGATAATAGGAAGAAAGGACAGATGCAAATGAAGATGCCTCCATTGCACATAAAATTGAAAAAAATGAGATTTTGTTCTGTTTTAAGACTTTTCCAGTTTACTGAGTGGATCACTAATAAAAAGAAATGTAGGCTTATTTTTTGTTTTACAAACACATTTTAAGTAGATGTACAAACACATCAGCATCAAAGGTTTTCAACAGGTTCTACAACATTGATTTGGGCACAGATTCACACCCTTTGATTAAACTAATTTTATCCAGTCAGGATAATTAAATCCTACGATGCTTATCTGGTCATTCTGGCGTCTTGACGTGTAAACAAATATACATGACAGTCATGGTTACTTGAAGACATGTATATAATGATTTATCTTTCTTGAAAATCATTTGCGTAAAACTAACTTTTAGAAAACTGAACGATTTCATTTGGAAGTCGTCAAAGCGAGGCCGCATTCATGTTTATTAAAGTTAGGGTATTTAATTCAAACAAAATGTTCATTTATACAAACAAATAACTTAAATCATAACGAGATACTAAGTAGATAAGCATAATCTATCTTAGTTCGCTATTTATAATTATTTTGTTATTATCAGTTACCTTGGAACGTCTCTCATTAGGGTGTGAAGGCTTCTGTTTAACCTCTGGGCTTGATCGGGGGTGGAAAGGGTGAGTTTAGAAACAAAACATACGCACACGAAATTAGTCAATTGTCACTTGAAATTTGACCATCGTTTTATTCCTCTGCACGTTTATTTGATATTGTGCACATTTTGAGTAAATAGATACATGGACTTTTGCTTTGGTGCGACTTAGAAGGAAGTGATGGCCATTTTGAAAAATTATAAAAATCACCCCCACCCCCAATATTTGATCTGAGCTGGCCTATTATTGGTCAATCCGTGTTTGCGTACGTTCATAATATTATATTTACCATACGTGTCCTTTAGACATTTTGACCCGTTAATACGCCTACAACAGACCAGCAAATTCATCTCCTTTTTTCTACATAACTGGCTGTTATGTTACCGACATCAGTCATTGCAGGATAAAGGCAGGGAACAAATTGTTGTTGTTGTTGTTGTTGTTGTTGTTAAAGAGTTTAACGCCATTTTCAGCACAAGATTAGCTATACATGGCGGCCAATATTAATGGTTTAGGAAGAACCCGGGAAAACCCCGGAAATAAGACATATTCACGAGAAGCTAACGGCAAGCTTTCTCATATACCCACATTGGCCGAGTCCGGGACTCGAACTCATGGAGAGGTGAGACGGCAGTGATCGGTAACGGTGAGAGCTTTTGACCACTCGGTGGAACAACTTGTTGGTCTAGCCTACCACGGAATTTGCTGGCGGTAAATAATCTAGCCAAGAATATGCCAGCTTATTTCAGAACTATACATATTATTATTTGATGAATTTTAGAAGCAAAAATACATTTCCAAATTCAAGTAGGTTTCAGTTTTATGAGCTTTTGTGCTTGAGACTGAAGATTTGCTTTGGTTTCCAAACAGAGGGGTTTTTGTTTCCTGGAGGAAAAGTAATATGCTAAAGAAAGAAAACTTATGGACCAAAGAGTCTTTTCGAATCTCTGGGGATTTCAATATCGATATGTTTGGTTGTGAGGGACTTCACTATATATGAAGAAACGATCTTTATCAAACATGTTAGAGAATATTTAATTCGTTCTCTACTTTTATTTGAACATGGGTCCACCGTTTCAGCAAACATTATCTTGCTTGCATACTCTATACCCTCTAAACTTAGCGCACATTACTCAAAAATAAGATGAACGCAAAGTTTTAACACACCCTCGCGTTTATTAGTTTTTACCCCCAAACAATTTTAAAAAATAAAAGCACCAATGTTACAAAAATGCACAAAATTTACTCATTTCATTTATAAATTTATAATTTCCTGCGTGATTAGGCTAGCTGGTCACTAACACTGTCAACTTGTTGATGTTTTAAAACAAACGGAAGCTCTCGAGGTAAACAAGTAGACAGACCGCTTCCTTTTCCTTTCTAGAACATTCCATTTCAGTAAAACCTGTGTCGTCTGCAGCCTCTATTTGTCATGTTTAGTTGTAATATTTCTACAAGACGTTAAACGTATGAAAAGAAGGAATCTCTTTCATATATGTGCTTAATGAGTCAAAACTCCAAAACTTTACGGATATAGTGGGATTATCAAAGAAGGCGAAATGCTTTACATTTGTTCCTTGAAAACATAGACTCACCCGTGCAAAGATGGCAACCGTGTTACCAAAAAATTCCTCTTACATTCGAAACGGCAACAAATTGGCAGTGTTTGTGATTCCATGATGACTTTCAAGTTAGAAATTATAACTGATAATTGAAATGATTGAGTTTTATGATGTATTGTGTTTTTAAAGCCCGGGAGTGCAAACACGGGAGAGTGTGCGAATACTATAAGTAATGGATTTGTCCGTCACACATACAACATACATCAAATAATAAGAAGAATAAAGAAGAAGATCCCAATTTAAATTCGCCAGTAGAATTGAAGAAAAAACTTTTATTGTATTTTATTTTATCAACTGAGTTTTCGTTCTGAAATGCTGGAATAGCAGATTGCATAGCTACTTGAAAAAAGATATACGAGAGATTTTAAGGAAGATGACAAACTTTCAAAACTAGTCAACCGAGATCAGAAAAGAAGAAAAACTATTCATCCCAGACCATTTTATGCGATGTACTACGTAAAAGTAACTTTCCAAACCATACTACAAGATTGCGCCTAATGACACACGATGCTAATGCTGTGAGGAAATACTGTTTGCTGCCTAAGGTAGCATGTAAGGTGCGTCCTGAAAATATTTTATTGCAATAAGTGTTCTCATGTGCCACCTCGATGTAGCGTAAAAGGACTGAATAAACTTTGTTCAGTTTTGTTTTGTAATGGTTACAGTTCTTATCGAATTGATAGCTTAGTCCTCAGGACTAACCTGTGGTTTTGAATTCCCTCGCGCAGCCTACCTAAATCAATTCATCTTTTAAGGCTGATGTTACTCTTATAAACAAATTATATTCCACATTAAATAATATGTATCCTTATTCTTTAAATTAAAGGTATCATTATTCCTCGCCTAAACTGACTTTCACATAAATTTTAAGGCTGATCTTTTATCTTGGACCACTTTCTTTGACATCAGATCTCTAAGACCTTCCAAAATATTCTTTCTTTTACGATGCTTTCTGTAAAATGACTGCATTTACCATCCAGCTTATGGTGTAATACTCCTAGTGCCCCATCGAAATAAACATCCTTTGTAGTTGAATTTTTCAGGCCGTTTTAAGTTATCTTTCCTTTATATCAATAAACTCTGACAATGTAATGTTTATAATGCAGGTGTGTTTGTCACTTTGTCAGTCTGTGTTGTTTGAATAGCCTGTTCTATATGTTGTATTTAATTAGGATGCTGAAGTCCTGCATTAAATTTGCAATACCGTTCATAAAACCTTTCTCTGCCTGTGACTGCATTATCACTTTTCTTGACATTCTTCCTTAGACTCGTCTTCAAGATTCAGCTGTCTCTTTCCCTGCTCTTTCTTGGACGGTCTGTGCTCTCTCTCTCTCTCTCTCTCTCTCTCTCTCTCTCTCTCTCTCTCTCTCTCTCTCTCTCTCTCTCTCTCTCTCTCTCTCTCATACATACACACGTTCCTGATTCCGATTGTGAAAGTTGTGGTGAGAATCCCTGCTATCTGGACATTCATATCACACTTAGGGATTTTGTAATGGTTCCTTAACAGCAGTGATTGGCTGTTTATTTTTTTTTTTGTGTGTGAAATTATTCCCGTATGGTATCTTTCTTGCCACTTTCTTTATCCTTGTTGGAAATATTCATTTTCCACGTGGACATGCGATGTATCTGCAATCATTTCAGCGAGTATTTCCAAAACTATATTGTTCTATAGTTACTTACGGAGATGGAGTTTGAATCAAGCATTGCCCAGTCATCATTCAACACAGTAAAAGATGAAGAAAATAGAGCATAAAGATTCATCGAGTGCTACATTAGAGGTAGTGTAGCTGCAGTGAGTTAGATTCCCAATGCAAAACACGTGGGCACAAAATGCATGTCATTTGCATCTGAATATAAATTTAATGACTAGGTACGGCGACTATGTATCAGTGATTGCATGTCAGAAGAGTTGAGCAAACAGCTCTTGATAAACCTGACTATCAGCTCCAAGCATCGTTTGCCCATTTACAATGTACTACAGATGTTGTTGTTATTATTATTATTATTATTATTATTATTATTATTATTATTATTATTATTATTATTATTATTATTATTGTTGTTGTTGTTGTTGTTGTTGTTGGTGGTG